CCATCCTTCCGAGGTAGGTAAAATGAGGATGCGGATTGTGGTGTGGGGGCAATATGCTGACTCTGTAAACCGCTTAGAGAGGGCTGAAAGCCCTATGAAGCGGTATATAAGTCTAACTGCTATTGCTATAGTTGCAAGTGTGGAAAATAGTCACAACTTTTTACAGTGCTGTTGAAACTTTGAATGGTCACTAAACAGACTGTTGTAACTCCAGGACTTCCTATTTTTACAGGTTTCTGGCTCTCTGCCTATTCCCCCCCCTCCTTTCCATGAGAGCACTTACCACTAGTCTGAGGATTGTCTAAATCAGTCGTTGATCTGGATTTATTTCTGGAGGGAGGAAAATGGAGAAATTATATTATACAGGTTCTTTACAGGATACCATTTGAAACAGACATAACCCTCTCTGGACACACAAAGGGTGCTGAAAAACTTTGATGATTCAGGGGTTATTTCTAAAGGTACCAAGGAAGCCCCAGAAAAATGGAAAGCAATAACTTCACAGCAGAAAATATGACTTCTCATAGGAATTTTCAAGATATAACTTTAGAATCACTCAAGAGATTCCAAGAATAGAGTTAGCATGTGGTTTTGCCTTTTCCAAGAATCTCAAGATTTTGGTCTGGGCTTTTTACATATAGGCTGCCAACAGTTTCTTGCAATCCGTTGCAGATGTTGAGTATATATATATATATATTCTAGGAGGAAAATTCATCCTAAGGCACAAAACCAGAATGGCATTTTCTCTGCGGAAACGTCCAAGGCTGGCTTTTATTAAATGGTATCTCTGCATCTTCAGTGTCTGCAAACGAAGCATGCAAATCTAAGCTGCACCTCACTCTAATGTAGTAGAGGTCAGCATTGAAGTGGCTGCAGAGATCCTTGATGGGTTCATTCCAGATTCCTCCTCCCCATCCAGCGATGCGAGGAGTTCATCCACACCTGGTGGCAGGAGCAGGGGTGGAATTCAGTTGCTTCACCCTGGTTTGGGCGAACCAGATGCTAATTTTATATCTGGTTCACCGAACTGGTAGTTGGAAGGACTGGCTGGCCCTGCCCACCCCCTCCCCTTCCCTCTCAGAAGTCTCCATGCAGCCTGTTCATTGTGCCAGGTAAATGCAGGGCCCGCACGGAGATTCTGGGAGGGCGAAAAATGGGCCTCCTGGAAGTTCCAGAAGTCCAGAAATGGGCCTGTTTCTGGCCTCCGATGGGCTTCCGGATACCAAGGGAGGCCATTTTTGCCCTTCCGGAGGCTCAAAGAAAACCAGAGCCTTGGGGGGGGGGGTATGTGTGTGAAAACTGTGCAGAAGGCCAAGTAGGCCATGCCCCCATGGCCATGCCCACCCAGCAACCAGCACAGAACCAGTTGCTAAATTGTTTGAATCCCACCCCTGGGCAGGAGATCCCAGCCTGAAGAGCAGAACCTTGAGATCAATGGCCCAGAGATTAAAGCAAAGGGAGCCATTCCATCAGCTTCCAAACATGGGGGACACCATATCTGTAATACTGATGCCCATGCTAGATGACACTGATGGAAGTTCTAAGAGATTGGACAGCACTTGCTTGTCCTGGTGTGTTCATCCCCTGGACCAAACCATGAATCCAGCATGAAAGCACATATTTAGGAAACGGTGTAACTAAAAAAAGAATGGAAGGAGGGAATGAAGGAGAGAAGAAAGGGGGGAAGGAAGGAGCGAAGGAAGGAGGAAAGGAAGGAGAGAAGAAAGGAGGGAAGGAAGGAGGGAAGGAAGGTGGGAAGGAAGGAGGGAAGGAGAGAAGAAAGGTGGGAGGGAAGGGGGAAGGAGGGAGGGAAGGAAGGAGAGAAGGAAAGAAGAAAGGAGGGAAGGAAGGAAGAAGAAGTAGGATTGTTGTAAAATAAGATGGGTTTATGGGATGGTAAGAAAGTAATTTCAATTATATTGTCAATTGTAGGGGAGAAAAATTGTTACAAGTACATATTATTATTTGTAGTTATGAGATCATATAATTGTGAATGTATATATGAGAAATAAAAATCTATTTAAAATTAAAAAAGAAGAAGAATGGAATCACTCAAAAGTGATTCACTTTCCAGAAATGAAAGAGCAGGAAGCACTATTTCCTTTTGAAATCCCAAACAATACTGTTAGTAAAAACTCACTATTTCTTACCTGTCGACATTGAAGTGATTTCCTTGCTCATTGGAGACTCTTGGTGATTCATAATGTCTGGAATAAAGAGACCACAAACAAGAGTTAGCTGGGATAAAGTCCAAGAGCTTCCTTCCATCCATCCATCCATTTATCTTTTATGGCTGCCCATCTCAAACCAATAACTGGGTTGTGAACAATTATAAAATCATAACCATAGATAGCCAGGAAATTGGGCCCTTCACATACAAGAGTCTTGAGGAAGAGAGAATCTTCTCAGGGACCATGACAAAGAAGATGCATCTCCTGGTTCCTTCCAGTTGACATTCCTTGTCTGATGTGATTCATTCTCTGTGCAATCACTCGAGGATAAATATTGCCCAGGCTAGGAGTGGCCCTCATGTTTGATTATCTCACTAAAAATGTATACAGTCCTCTGGATCACAAGTTCCATAATTAAACTTTGACAAGCATCTGAATTAGAAATACAGATCTGTACACCAGTATTTCTCAACCTTGGCAACTTGAAGATATCCGGACTTCAACTCCCAGAATTCCCCAGCCAGCATTCGCTGGCTGGGGAATTCTGGGAGTTGAAGTCCGGATATCTTCAAGTTGCCAAGGTTGAGAAACACTGGTGTACACTACAATCTAGCAAATAGTTAACTTGAACTTCCCATGTCAATTTTTACCATCAGGCCTCAGCCCTACATAGCTGCTAAAGCTTGGCAACTAGTGTTTTCCTGGCAAGCTCCCTTTAGTAGTAAGATTGTGACTTGTAGAATGTGTTGAGATCATCTAAAAGCAATCACTGAACATGATTGATGTGTGGGCTTTTGAATGAGATAATAAAGCAGCATCAAAATTATATAGGCATCAAAGAATAAAATGTTTCCAAAGCAGCATCAAAGATACCTAAGTTTAGGAGCCTGTGAAGAAAAGGGCCCATAGCAACCCATTTCTCATCACACTATGGTTTTAGGGGCAGTGAGAATTCAATCAACTTCTTAAGGAATCTGAGGAAGGAATACTTCCTGGATGTGGGCACCCTGACAAGCCCTTTCCTCAGTTTTACTAAGTGGAGAGGGCAGTAAGGAAGACTCTCACTGCACACTGGGACAAGCCTCCATCCAGAAATACTGGGAACTAGTGGGGGAAATCACATCTATTTACTGTCTGGAAGCTAAGAGAAGATGGCACAAGTCCATTCTAGACTCTAGTCCATAAAGTACTATGGTTTTGCGTCACATCATGTATTAATAATCCAGCTTTTATGGAATTTCCATAATTTCTTTCTTAAACCTTAAATCTAAGATTGTAGAATAGAATAATACAGACCTTTGATACTGAAATCTTTGCATGGAAACCTCCTTGACTGGTTCCACCAGCAGCTTTTGAGATGCTTCTTCACGGTATCTTGGTTCCTTGATAGGTTCCACTAACAGCTTTTGAGTTGCTTCTTCCTGGTATCTTGGTTCCTTGATTGGTTCCATCAGCAGGTCCTTAGATGTTTCTTCCCAATACCTTGGTTCCTTGATTGGTTCCATCAGAAGGTCCCGAGATGCTTCTTCCCGATACCTTGGTTCCTTGATAGGTTCTATTAACAGCTTTTGAGATGCTTCATCATGATACCTTGGTTCCTTGATTGGTTCTATCAGAAAGTCCTGAGATGCTTCTTTCTGATACCTTGGTTCCTTGATAGGTTCCATCAGCAGGTCCTTAGATGCTTCTTCCCAATATCTTGGTTCCTTGATAGGTTCCATCAGAAGGTCCCGAGATGCTTCTTCTCGATACCTTGGTTCCTTGATAGGTTCCATCAGCAGGTCCTTAGATGCTTCTTCCCAATACCTTGGTTCTTTGATAGGTTCCATCAGCAGGTCCCGAGATGCTTCTTCCTGATGCCTTGGTTCCTTGATAGGGTCCATCAGCAGGTTTGGAGATGTTTCTTCCTGGTATCTTAAATCCTTGATTGTTTCTACGTGAGTTTTGTATGATATTTCTTCCCAAAACTTTGGTTCCTTGAGTTGTTCCAGCACTAACTTTTGAGATGTCTCTTCCTGATACCCTTGATCTTTGATGGGTTCAAAAAGCAGATTCTGAGATATTTCTTCACCATGTTCTGGTTCTTTAATTGGGTCCATCAGAAGATTTTGAGATGTTTCTTCCCAATGCCTTGATTCCTTGACAGGTTCTTCCTGTGGTTTTTGAGGTACTTCTTCTGGATAACTTGGTTCCTTTGCATAGTACACTGTGTCTTGTCCATTCCATTCCTTCCCATTTTCTATTTCTTGTAACTTTTTCTTTTGCTCCACCTGTAACACTCCTTGTTGTTGTAAGCTGCTTCTCACTAGCTCACCATCTTTCCCCTGATTCTCCGGCTTGCTTTCCACTTCCCAATTTCTTTCAGAACTAAGATAAGCAGTCCTGTTACTTCCATTTCTTTCCCACAAAGAAGTTGGGGCCTCCTGTAAACTCCCAGTCATAGCAGGGGATGTCAGGTTAGTCTGTTCCTAGAAAAGAATACAAGTTTTGCAGAAGTTAAAACGCAGAAGAGAAATAGTGGCGAATATCTGTAGATCGGCTATAGGATGAGGGTGTTCATTCTCCGAGCTTGTGGGTTGGTTTCCAAACATTTCATTACCACGCTAGGTAGCATCTTCAGAAGAGTTTAGGGGATACCATTGTCAGTGTTCTATGTGGCACAAACATCACATGAATTAAAAACCAGGATCCACAAACACTGGCTGGCAGTCAAACGCCATGATCCCAAAATCTTACTCTCTATTCACACCGACACCAAATGGCACCAGTTCGATTAGAGCAACACAAAAACCATTGGCCACACTACCACCCACCACGATTGTAAATTCATCAAAGCGTGGCACTCTACGAATAATTCCATCAAGGGCCAAGGTGGTGCATTTAGCAGGTTCTGACCAGTTCTGGAGAACCGGTAGCAGAAATTTTGAGTAGTTTGGAGAACCGGTAAATGCCACCTCTGACTGGCCACACCCCCATCTATTCTCTGCCTATGAAGTCCCAGCTGATCGGGAGGAAGTGGGGATTTTGCAGTATCCTTCCCCTGGAGTGGGCAGGGAATGGAGATTTTACAGCATCCTTCCCATGCCGCACCCACCAAGCCATGCCCACAGAACCAGTAGCATTTTTTTTGAACCCCACCACTGATCAAGGGACATATTGACCTACAACCAGCACCACTCAGAATCCAAATCCACATAGCCAACCAGAGACAGCTGGGACTCTCAGTCAACTTACACAACACCCCCCATCAGCACTTCACCTCCCAATGGCCCTCATCTGATGTAACCTCCCCATCACAAGACTCTCACTAATGACTCACACCTGACCCATCACCAGACCCATCCCACGACTTGACCTGACACCATAATAAATGGAACACTGACACTGACATTCCCCAAACTCCACTGAAGATGCTACCTAGCCTGTTAATGAAACATTTGGAAACCCAACCA